CAAAAACTGAAGTTTGCCAAGAAAATATATAAACTTCAAAACTACCAACAGTTGCCATGCATTATATTGAAATTTAATTATACTATAGGTAATCAGCAGGTTTTAAAATATTTTTTAATTAAAATTAAGGTAAAATAACAGATTTAAAATCTCAGAAATTTATATTCAAATGCATGTGCAGAAAAATTTTGCACAAAAATTGTTTAAATATTTATATTTTAAAAAATTTTTTTTTTCTTTTTGATACTTAAGAAAATTAAAAGTTTATTACTATGCATTTTTGACATATAAGGAACATATAACTAATATTTATAAGGAACTTACAAGTTATGTTGTATAAATACAAACTTGATATAAGATACAAGTGTATAAAAAATTTTTTTTAATGTTATACCGAATATCTTTATTATCCAGTATGTTAATTTGAATTTAAAAGTAGTTATATTTATGAATAATGATAAATATAATTCATATTGTTTATTATATTTATTTATAATTATTACACTTATCATTTTAAAACAATTTTTATCTCTTAATTTTTTTTTCTCCACTTGTATTAAGAATACAAATAATGCATATCTTGAAAGCAAGAAGTAATTATTCAACAGCTGAATATTTAGATATTCAACAAAACTATATAGTATTCAGCAAAATGAAATTCACAAGTATTTGGATAAACTAAATTTTCAGCATAGTAAATGAATAGGCTGAATATACTGTAAATCGACACTAACTACTCTGTGTATTTAACAGAAAGCACTTAAATTTGTATTGTCTTATGTTAAAAAGATTATTAAGAAGATTTAAAAGAATATTAAAAAGATTTTTCTTTAAAAGATGTCTAATGTACAAAACTGCTAATGTTTATCTTTAAAAATGTCTAATTTTTAGTATAATCTATACTATACACTAAATTTGGTTATAAATAAATTTCTTAATAATATCACTGCAGATTTTCAATAACACATGAAAATGAATACATAATATTACAAAAGATGTGAGCTTTCAAAAGTACAAGATTTTGGTTACTATTCAAAATATAAGTGTTTCTTCAAAATTTTAAATTTATTTTTTCTAGAACATATTTAGAAACACTATCCTTTATAAAAAATATATAAATTTTATGTATTAATTAAATTTCACATATGAATATAGGTTTTTGACATTTTCGACATTTTTGACAGTGAGGTTTTTGACGTGACGGTTTAAACCATGGTTTAAACTGTCAAAAACCTGCCAACCCTGCTTTATTGGTTGTTTCAGGACAGCCCTGCAAGGACTTCTGACTTTTTGTCACTGTCTTCTCTTAAAAAGATGCCATTAAAGTTTTGCAAATGTAGATGGCTCGAAAATATCCCTGCAGTAGAAAGAGCCATTGAAATGTGGTCAGATGTTGAATCATATGTAAAGTGTGTAGACAAGGGGAAGTTTTCCAAAATAAGTAGCAAAAGTTATCTGACCATTAGGGAAGCTGCGCAGGACAAGTTTACTGTTGTGAAGTTTAATGTTTTTTTGGCCATAGCAAAAATTATAAAACATTTTCTTAAGACCTACCAGAGTGATGCACCTCTTTTACCATTTTTCTCTGAAGATACACTTAATATAAGCAAGCAGTTAGTTGTCTTTTTTAGCGTTTATAAAAAAGAAACCATGGAAAATTTTTCAAATGCTGCAAAGCTCTGCAAGTTTGATTTTTCAGATGAAATAAATTTCAATCAAGTGAATAAGATAACTCTAGGATTTGTTGGGGACAGTTGTGTTAAGCAGCTTTTGAAAAGAAACAGTTTGCTCTCAAAAGATGTGTTTAATGTCCGCATAGAATCCAGAAGTTTTGTGACAAAACTTCTGGAGAAGCTGTTGAGTAAATGTCCAATTAATTATTGCTTAGTAAGGAATGTGTCCTGTTTCAATCCAAGAAAAATGGCACTTCAGCCTGAGACTTGTCAAAAGTCTTTAAAAAAACTTTTGATGAACTTGAATGAAAAAAAAGTTGTTGTGGATAAAGAATGTGATGAAGTAATTTTTCAATTCAAGCATTTTATTGAAACCATTGTAACTTGCAATAAGTCTTCTTTTCAAAATTTTTCTACCGAGAATGATAGGGTAGACACCTTTTTCCATAGTTTTATCAATCAGAACAAGAAGGCTTATGATAAATTATGGCATGTTATGAAAGTAGTTTTTACTCTTTCACATGGTCAAGCATCCATTGAAAGAGGTTTCTCGTTCAATAAAAAAATTGAGGTTGAGAATATGATACAAGAATCATATGTTTCTCAAAGAATCATTAAAGATACTATAAGATGTTACGGAAGCATTCTCAATGTACCCATTACAGATGATATGAGAAGATCAGTGTCTATGGCTCGTTAAAGGTATTTAAGTAGTCTAGAGGAAAAACGCAACAATGAGAAAAATGAAGAGAAACAGAAGAAAAGAAAGGCTATTGTAGAGGAGGTGGATTTTTTGCGATCTAAGAGGGCTTACTTAGAAACTGATGTTACCCAAATGGAGAAGACATATGAAAACCTGACTGAAGAAGCTGAGAGAAAGAAAAACATTGATTTATTCATCAGATCAAATTCTATTAAAAAAGCTATTAACGAAAAAAATCAAGAGCTAAAAGAACTTGATAGCAAACTAACTGAAGTAACTAAAGCATTAAACAAATGTGATTAATTTTTGTTTGCATTGCAATCATGGGTCGTCAATCAAAAAGTTTGGACACTTTAAGTTTCAATTTAATTTCTCTATTTTTTATGGAGTAATTATGTAAGTTTTCATGACTAATAAATGTTTCATAGCTAAATACTTTTTTTTTGTGTGAGAATCAGAATATTATTATGTAAAGTTAGTTTTTCACGATCAATTACTTTAGATGATTGTTGGACTTGGATGACATTTTGTTTTTTAAACATTTTTGTTAAAGTGCAATGTTTTATTATATCATTAAAGTGCAATGTTTTTATTATGTCATTAAAGTACAACGCATATTATATCAAATTCAAGTGCAATGTTTATTACTTTATCTAAGATTGAAGTGAAATATTTTCATTAATTAAGAATTTTTGTTAATAAAGTCATATTGTATTATTTTGTTTGCTTCTTATCTCTTAAGAGACAACACCAAATATTTCCATTCTATTGCTTCCTTTCATTACTTTATAAAATAAGTAAGCTATATATGGTTCATGAATATGTTCCTTTTAATTTTTATTTTCAGAAAGAATTGTTGCTGCATAACATTTAGAGAAGGTTGTGTAAATTATGGATGAATTAATTTTATAATTTCAGAAATGATGTTTAATAGAGGAGAGGAGGGGGTTATGGAATACCTAAGATTTAGTTCTGTCTCTCTCATGCAGCCATCACGTGGAAATACCCAGGATTAAAGAAATCCTCTCTTCACCATTAACACCTCATTACCATTAGTTATAGCTTGTGCTGAAAATGATTTTGTGAATTAATATTTAAAATGAGTAGGGTTTTAAAAAAAATATAAATGCTAGTCCATTGAACATATAGTCTCTTCTCTCCATATAGGCAAAGCATTTAGGTATTATATTTGAAATTAATTATTGCCACAACAAGCATTGTTGCTTCTAGTAAAATAGAAGAGAATAATTTTTAAAATTGGTCTTAGATTAAGGTCCTTGAAAATTTTGTTGAGGTCCTTGAAAAGTCCTGGAAAGTCCTTGAATTTCAATCTCATCATAGAGTGGGAACCCTGACAGAGACAAGAGCAAACTTTTTCATTACCATGGAAAATCATAATACTTATATAATCATAATAGTATTAAATCATAATACTCTTATAGAAAAAACTTATTTCATAAAAATATCTGATTAATAAGAAATTATACATTGTTATTCCTCAGAATTGAAAATGTTTACGAATCTAACGTTGTGTGCCATCAACAGTGATATAATTCTTGTAGTCATGAAAATGATTTTTAACAAATCAACCACTTTTTTTCTGTATGGAAAAGCAAGAATTGATCAAGGCTTCCTATTACATCATATAACAGTTCCTTTTTTTTATAACTGTCATTGAACAGCTGACCCAATTTTGGGTTTACGACTACCAATATTCAACTCTGTAGCCTTGTAATTTTGAACCCAATATAGAAGACAAGGGAACTCCTGGAGCAAGTATTCAGGAAATTTTGCCTTTGTGGAGGATTTTTTGATTAAACTTCCCTTACTTGCATTACATGGAGAAGAAAACCTCCCACAGTCAACTTGATGTCAAGGGGACTCTAACCCATGATCTGCCTACCACTGAGGATATTTTACGTCAGCACTGTGGTCGGTGCAAGCCAGATGCGGAATTCGAATCGACCAATCGTTGCTGGGATTCAAACCGGATCACCTTATTCGAAGACGAGCGCTCAATATCCTGAGCCACCACCGATCAACAGAAAAGTCTTGACTTTACCATCCACATCTTGATATAATTAATAATTTAAACTAACACACCCAAAACTTTCTTTTAAAAAAAAGGCTGACAATTTTACTTGCTAAAGCATGTTTGTAAAGAATACTGTGAATGTTACTGCAATATTCATATTTTTTTCAATCATTATTATTATTATAATTATTTTTTTAATTTTGTTAATTCATTTTATTATTTTTGGATCTAATAATTTTTTCTCCAAATTTGCCTCACACCACTCCAGGTGTCAATTTCAGTTTTTGAAATATTTTAAGTTGATGAACTGAGAGGCAAAGGAATTACTCTTAGATTAATAGCCTTTACTTCTCTCAATCATTGATGAGTATTGAAGAAGCAATTTCTTTCAGTGTTGATTTTTCCCCTAACAGACAGCACACAAATCTTAAATTTGGTGTTTTGTCTCTTGAGTATAACATTGTTCAAATAATTAAACATTTGTGTTTATAAGCATTTTCAATATTTTAGTTCTAAACTGTTGTTATACAAATTAATGCAATTGATTTTATTTGCTATTTGTATATTAAAATAGTATTATATATTTTAGGGGGAAGCACAAAGTTATCTACATAACTCCAGAATTTGCTGAAAATGCTGTTTCATTATTGCAAACATTAGATAAAAATGTTGGTAAGATATTTAAGGAATTAATGTTAATTCAGTTGGATATTTCATCTTTTTATTTATATATGTATATATATTGAATTTCAAATATCAAATCATTTTTTTTTCCTAGTTTGCTTTCAATGCTTTTTTCCTTATTTTGTTAATATGAATTTCAGGAATTGTCCTGTTTGCTATTGATGAAGCGCATTGTGTTTCTCAATGGGGGCATGATTTTAGAAGTTCATACCGAAATCTAGGGTCGCTGCGTAGAACATTTAGTCATGTATGTTTTGAAAATTGGCCAATATAAAGAAACACTTAATGTATTTTTTTTTATACTAAAAAGTTTGTATCATTGTTTAGGTTCCTTTTATGGCTGTAACAGCAACTGCCACTCCAACTGTTTTAAACGATATTTGTACTTCCTTAAATCTACGAAATCCTGTTAAAGTAGTTTCAAGTTTTGATAGGTAACTTAATTTACTTATAACTAATAATCCTAACTTAATTTTTTTTCAGCATCACTCTCTTATTTAATGTAACTTGTTTAAATGTAACAACATTTACCCCAAACGTAAGCAATACTTGAAATTTTATAAAGCAAAGATATCCTCCTAAAGTAGTTTTAATAGGTAACTTAACTTACTCATAACTAATAAACATAACTTAATTATTTCCCTTTCGTATTTAATGTATTTTGTTTAAATATAGCAGCATTTGTCCCAATACTTGCAATTTTATAAAGCAAATCTATCCTGAAGTAGCTTCAGACTCTGATAGTATGTTTATATCTTTATTATAACTTAATTTCTTTTAACATATGTCTTTAATTTAATGTAACTGTCATTGCTGTAACAGCAACTGCACATAATATTGAGAAAAAATTGTAGTTTTATAAAGTTTAATTTGTTAAACATTTCTTACTACTATGTTATACGGTTAGTCGTAAAGAGAAAATTATGGGCTATACTAACCTCAAAGTAATTTCTAAGCTATTTCACCGTTTCTCGTAGGTTTGCTTAGTTACCCAAAAAATTGCTTTTTTTATTTCGTCTGACTGTCACTTTTTTTGTCTGATATTATAATTCCATGGCTTCTCTATACTTAACGTACGTAAAAAATTTAGGCTCCGTGTTCTGAAACTGAGATTTCACGTTCCCAAAGCTTTCATCAATGAAAAATTCCATCAGATCTATCTCCTTCGTTGATGTCATGTTTGTTTGAAGTTGTAAATATCATCACATCGAATTGAAATGTCATAAAATACTAATCATCTGGTTGATCCAAGTTTGAATTGCATTTAGTTACAGGCAATTTTTTCTCTGTAGAGAAACTGTTGCTGGTAATTTGACCAACTGTGTTTTCTATATTACATTTTATGAATTTTTTGTGGATGTTGATATGATTGCGCTAACATTTGTTTTGAATTGATTATTGTAGATAATTTTCATCATGTGATAACTCTATTAAAGTGACTGGATCCTTCCATCTTGTTTTTTGACACTAAAAATAATCTGCTACGTTATGGAGTATGATCTTTGTATGTTTGCTCAGTTGCTGATAATTTGAGCAACTGTGTACATCACATTAGCATTTTTGAGCAATTTTTAGTGGAAGTTGAGGATACAATTAGGCTTGTGATTGGCTTACCGGTTTCGCTGTAGATCATTTTCATCATGTGATATCCCTTTTAAAGTGACTGCATCATTCCATCAATGATGTTTTTTTATGGTTACATTCTTTACTAGGAACAAGAATTTTTTACATTAAACTTTTTTTATGTTTAGGTTTTTTATATTATTATTAATTATTTTATTACTGTTCTAATTACTTTTAGGCCCAATTTGTATTTGGAAGTCAGCATGAAGAGTAACTCAATAACAAATGATTTGCTGAGAGTGATGACTAAAAAAAATGGCAAGCCTAGTTTTGCAGGACCAACGATTATTTATTGTCCTACTAGAAATGCAACTATAGAGGTTCACAAGAAGATTCTAGGTGAGTAATCTTATTTAAAAATATCTGTTTAAACATTGCAGCACATTAAAATTATACGAAAACTAAATTACATATGTCGGAAAATTCTAAAAAATATAAATGAATGTTTTAATATCTTTCGACCTTATTTTTCATCAAGCTTTTCTGCATTTTTAAGTATAAAATTGTTATTTTTATGCGTGCAGTATTTTGTGTATGAAAACATTACTCTAAAAATATAAACTTTTTTTACAGTAAAAAAATATATACATATATAATTTTATGCTTCACAAATTATTGCTGCATAAAAAATGTTCCATGTTTGGTTATTGTGAAAGGCCTTAGCTTTGATCCTTCAAATTTTGTTAAAGTTGTAATCAAGAAATTTTATATAATTATTATAGTTTTTCTTTTAATAAGAAAAGCTTTCTTGAAAAATTATATGTTTTGATTTATTGAAATTATTATTATCCATTAAATCAAAGATAGTTATTAATTTATTGCATTTTTTTTCTTCTTAAGCATAATAAAAAATAAGTATATAGAAGGAACTCCAGTAATAAAATTTTTGTTAGTGTCTAAATGTTAATTTCTTGTAATCTGAATTTAATTCGCTCATATCAAATAATATTCTCATAGATACAATTCTTAAAAATACTTATTTTTGAAAAATTATTTTTTTGATAGTTAAATTTTAAAATTAAGTTTACCTGTTTTATTCTAGATATGAATGTATCTTGTCAAATGTATCATGCAGGAATGACACCTTTACAACGCAAGACTGCTCATCGAGAATTTGTTCACGACAAAGTTGAGGTAAAATTCCTGATCGTACATTTACAACATTACCATAAAACATGTTTTTATTTACCATATGTTTTACACCACAATAAATTTAGAAAATTTATGTTTCTTAAAAATTTCTTAATAATTTAAATGTAATGTACTAACATAACTCCAAGAATCAACTAAAATGATAATCAAGTTTCATAAACTGTGGTGGGAACTATATAAAATCTTGAACTGGAGTATACACCATTTTCCATAGTGATTAGAATATTGGTTCCCAAACTATTTCAATTTCTTCCCCCCTCTTTACTATTTCTAGAGGCTCATTCCCCTTTTCAAAAACACATAGATATACAGTATTTATTGAGATTTTGACTATTTTGTAACATGTTTTAAAATTTAACAACAAAAGCAGTGCTCATGCTTTCTTAGTTTTTTTTTCTTCATATTAGCAAACTAAGTTCTTTATTCATTGTGATGAGTGTGTAAGTTTTTAATTCATTGTGATCAGAAATGAACGTCCTTTTCCATAATGGTTAGAACATCTGGCTACAAGACCTAACTGATGATTTCTGGGCCCTAGATCGAAATTCAGTGCAAGCCCTTTTTTCAAAAATAGCATAAGTGTAATTTTCATACTTTGTAAGCTATTTAAAAAGCTAATTACTAATTATTAAAGCTACAACTAAAGTTAATTTATTTTTTGATTCTTGAAGTATCACTTTTAATTACTAAATTATTAGTTTTCAAGCATTTTATTAATGCTAACTTTTGTTGCAAATTCAATGTTAATTGGCTAATGTTATTATTGACTTGCAGTAAGCATAATAGCAAAAAACAGTTGTGAAATATTGCAAACCTAAATATGAGAAATTTGCAGATAATTATTTTAAAAAATTATTAAAGATAAATAAAAAAGAATGCAAAAAAGAAAGTTTAACTTTAAATAAAAAAATATGTAGAACTTTTTGTAAAAATTTTTAACCTGGCCAAAAGGCAATTGTCCCTTTCTACCCCCCTCTTTTAATACAGCCTTCAATATACTGGCTTAAATATTTTTATTTCTAAGATATGTAAAACCAACAGAACATATTTACCTTACTTAGGTTTGATACTATTCCTTGACAAAGACATTGCTAAAATAATTCCGATTCACAATCTGTCTTTATGTCCTACACTTATAGTTTTATTTTCTCTCCATTTAGGTTGTTGTTGCAACTGTTGCTTTTGGTATGGGCATTGACAAGCCTGATGTCAGACGTGTTATACACTATGGTGGTATGTAATTTTTAATTTTTTAAACTTTTTTTAAATTAACATTTAAAGAAAAAAATGTTTTTTCCAAAGGTATAAATTATAAAATTTTTAAAATCTCATTTTTTAAACTTATAGTATTTTTTCATAATGTCACAATTGCAAGAAGCTTAATAGTTTGTATTAATTCATGGAACATATGTTATAATGTTTTTTTTTAAGCAGAACTCATTTAGAATTTGAAAATAATGATAGAATATTCAATCGATTTTCAAAGTATTTTCAATTTAAGGAAATAGCTCTAATCCTCTAAATAGAAATTCTAATATTATTTTTAAAATAAATGATTGTTTAAAATATATTTTTTAGTTCATATTTAAGAAACTTGTAAGTAACGAGTTGATTATTTTATGAAGTAATTTTTCTTCATCAATTTTTGCACTGGAAAAAAATAGTGTGTGAAAAAGCTGTAATATTTAATATGTGTGGAAAAAAAGATCTAATATTAAAATGCTTAAAAATATACTTTTTTAAAAATATTTATGTAAATTTAGTAGAATTCCAAGTATCCTAACTTCAGTCATGTGGATATTTTCTTTATAAAAGTAATAGAAGGCTATTTAATTTTTTAAGAAAGATTATCTGAAAATTAATTTTTACTGGTAGGTGGTTATCTGCAGATTTGATACTGCAGAAAATATTGTAAAAATATATGCGAAACATTACTTTTGTATTTATTAAATAAAAAATTCATATCAGCAAAATACTATTTTTTGTAACTTACATCATTTTTTATTAGTTTATGATTTTGAAAAATATAAGGTAAATTAAAAATAGAAGATAAGTTCATTCAAATTCTTAACTTTTTCAACTAATTTTAATTCAATGGAAAGTTCTAAAAAAATTTTAAGTATTCTCCATTTCTTGCTTTGCAAACATTATTGGTTCCAATCAAAGTATTTCCCATGAAACTTTGGTTGTGGTCCACATTAAAATTTTAAATTAAATTTTATTTTTCTATTCTAGTAGCCTATGTTATTGATTAAATCTTTAAAATGAAAATAATGTGTATTAAAAATTGAGTGCTGATAACTCAGGGTAACCAGCTGGTTTAGGACTTTTTTTCCCCAATATTGATATTTACCTATATTGTTTAAAAATTGCTAAGAAGCACACTATTCATACCTGTGGAGGTCATTTTTAATTTTTATTATGTTTATAAAATGTAAAATATATAGAAATGAATCTTTGCAGGCACTGCCATTTATTGTGTTTTTGATCAAGGCACATAATTATGTGCTTAAGAATTATTTTTAGCTATAACAAATGCAGGCATAACTTTAAAATTTATTTAAAATAGCGTAATTTAGAATTTTGTATGTGTGCACAAATTTTATTGAAAGCAAAAGTGGGGTGAATTCACAAATGCTAAAAACAATTGTGATGAGAGACTTATCTTTACGCATTAGAGTTGAGTCTTACTTTATACACTTTCTATAGATCTTAAAATGAAGTTAATGAAATGAACTTAAATGAGATAGAACTTAAATGAAATTTTGCAGTGTGTTTGCTTCAAGATATAATTACAAAGTAATTAGTTGGTGAATAAAATATTTACTTTGAATTTTTATTCTAATCCTAGCACCAAAGGATATTGAGTCTTATTATCAAGAAATAGGTAGAGCTGGCCGTGATGGTTCTCCAAGTATTTGCCAAGTCTTCTATTCCAATGGAGATTTTGTTACTTCGAAGTTAGTTATTCTTATAACTGTTTCTTTTTTAGATTTATCTATATAAAATTTTATCTGAAATAGTATCTTAGTTTATGACCGGCGTTGAAAAATCTAGCTTTTTTTTGGTTTACGACAATCTATGTTCAACTTAGTTGCCTGGTAATTTTGAACCTGACTCAGAAGACCAGGAGACACCTGAATCCAGCATTGAAACAAACTAGTCTTTGTGGAGAACTTTTTGAACTTTCTTTTTTTTTTACACAGAGAAGAAAACCACTAAAGTCACTTTGATTCATTCTTTTATTGGATTAGATTTTTTTTTTAATGCGTATGACATTTTTATGATTGGTTGAATATACAAGGCCCCTTTTATTAGATGTAATTTTCAATGAATAACATTTAAGTTTCATAAATAACTAAATGTTTATTCAAATAATAATCAAAACAGAAAAAGGTATTTATATTTTTGTGTAGGTATGCTTGTTGTTCATCCAAAAAGCCATGAATGATTGCAAAAATTTCTACAAATTCAAAATAAAAATTTAAGTTGCACCATTTTTAAACCTGATGCAAGTTCTATACATTTGTTAAAGTAATTTTCATAACTGGTGACATGTTTTTTTTATTAAGTCAATGTCATACTCATTTGCTGCCAATGCTTCTGAAAGATCAATCTCTTTCGAACTGAATATATTTTTAAATCTCATTTTGTTATTAGTTGTAAACATTTACTTTTTACATATCTTTACAAATGAATTAATTTGTCATTTTATTTACTGTTTAGTTTTTTTGTGCTTTCTATTTCATCAAAGCAAAAAATCCTAAGAGCACAAATCTGTGAATTATTACAAAATGACTTGTTTTGCATAATTCTGCTAGAAATATCCTTTTTTTGTCTTTTGTTTATTTTGAGCACACATCTCAAAAAATTTAAAATAAATATATTTTCCGATTATGTCTGCCTTGTGCTTAGGACCCCTAAGCCTAACTTTTATAAATGTTGTAAACTTTATGGTTTGTGAAAATGCTTTGTAAATGTATATCATAATATCTCATTTTTTTAATGTTGTATAAGTTTTTTAAAACTATTTCATTATTGCGTTTTCATCTCTTTTTTTTTTCTTTCTCATCTACGAATTTTTATTATCTCATTTTTTGGAAATCCTGACAATTAATATATGATGTTATTTTGTAGCCAAAGTTTTGAAATACTGTTAACTTAATTTGTTAACCAGAGAAACACTTAACTTTTTGCCATATCTTATTGGTAAGCAATGCCATTCATGGCTGAAAAACATGGGTAGTCATTTTACTTTGCGGGAATTGCTATTGTTATAGATGTTTCTTATTTTTTACTCAAACAGTGATATAAAAACCAATATTGTTGCAGTAAAAAAAAATTTTATTGCAGGTTTTTCTTGAAAGAAATTAAAAGTGAAAAGTTTCTAGCTCATAAACAAGATATGATATCCAAAATGCAGCAGTATTTGAACTCAAATCAATGTCGAAGGAAAATGCTTCTATCTCATTTTCAAGGAGAATCTGTAACAAATTTGAAACAAAGTGATAAATGCTGTGATAATTGTAAGAAAAAGTAAGTTCTTTTGTATCAATAATATTATAACAATCGCNAAATTAATGTCTTATTTCAAGTATTTTATTATTCAAGTTATTTTAAGAAATTTTGTTTTCCATTAAAAAAAAACTGCTCTCTATATGTGAAACTTTAGTTATGCCTTTAAATATACTCACTAAGTCATTCATATACTCACTAAGCCATTATGGTATTTTTTTTTTTTTTGTTCTAATCGAATCATATACCGGTTATAATCTATATAGGGTAATAAAAAGGAATTACTTTTGAGCTATTTTATAGGCATTAGGTATTTACTAAAGTTAATAAAGAAATTTTAAAAAAATGTCTCTATCATGCACCTTAGCTAAGCCTAACCTTATATCCAACTTATTTATTATGAAGAGATTGTAAACCCTCTGTGCTTAGCTTTAAAAATTAGCAAGTTTGAAGCCTCTTTCCATCTTTAAATGTTTATGCAATATTTGAGTAGCCTCTAAATTTATTTATGCTCTGAATTTTTGGAAGTGTTTTGCAAATTAGTTTTCATCCAAAACAATTTCAATTTGTCACTGTGCTAAGTGAAGATAATACTATTTATTTTCTTAGTAATATTATAATTCAGTACCTATTTATAACATTTAGTTTTTTCTCAATTATTAACTAAATTTTAAAAATCGATAAATGTTATGCTATCAATGTTTTTTAAAACGATCTAGTTTTTTATTATAAAAATTTTTGCAGTTTTTCTTGTAATCAACAGCTTTTTAAAAGTACAAATATTATCTATTTTACACATGATAATAAAAAACTTTTCTGTGTTAAATATTTATAACTTATGGTTCATAGTATAAGACTTGTTTTCTAAATTTTATTGGTTTACTAATTATTATATTGTTTTTATATATTTAGGCAACTAGTGGTGCTTTTGGGTTGGCAGTTCCAATATACATTCTTCGAGGATCGGTATGTTTGGTTTTTCATTTCATTACAATGACACAATGCTTTAGTCTACATTCTTCTTAGCCATTTAGTCTTCAAAATATTCATATTGTGTTTATTTCATCAGTTTTGGGTTAATTTGTTAATTTTTTGATTATCAAGCTACTTTCATGATATTGTTCAAAAATCACCACTTCCATTGAATAACTTAAAAAATTATCTGCTACATATAAAAATAAAAAACTTTATTTCCAGCACAGTTCAGGTTTGGTATTTTATGAATTTGGAAACTCTGAGTGTTCCATGATCTATATTCAATAGAATGGTTATTATTATAATACTTTAAATACCACATTGCAAATAAATATTAACTCATAATTTTCCTATACTCAAAACATATTGATTACCATAGAGAAAAAAATAACCTTTTATTACAGTTGTGAATTAAAATTTATTAATGAAGTTTTAATGTGAATTATTATGGTTATACTACCAGTGTATATACTATTACTAGTATATTTATATATTTAGAAAATCATAATATAGAGCTGAAACCTAGTTATGCACTCAAAATATTTGCTAGAAGCTCTATATTTATAATATTATAAAACTATAACTTCAATTTTAATGGCATTACTGTGAGTTATATGTCAGTATTAAAATATATTTATATGTTTGCTAAATGATTTCAATGCACTAAAAACAAAAAAATTACAGGCATTATAATTTCCTGGGCATCATTTCAACACAGCTTTATCCAATTTTTGATGACAAAGACCTAATAAATAAAATTTTTCATTAATGACATAAATTTTTTATTTCTAAAACAATAAGAAATAGCAGTTTTTTTTACTCAGGCAATATATTTCTGGCCATTAATTTTATTTTTAGAGTTGAATTATAACTTAAAAAGCTATATATATTTAATCTTAAGGAAAATAAATTTAAAATGCAGTTTTTACAGTTGAGACAAGCAACTGGGAAGGAAAAAAATAAAACTCTTGCAGAATTTGATGAGGTTTCACTATGATGAGATACATTGTTTTAGGAAGTTAAGGGTTGGTGTTTCTAATTTATAAAGATCACCATAGAAAAACTACTTTTATATTTAGAGGCAGATGTAGACAGAAGGGTAGAATGTACTTACAAATTCCAGTGTTGTTGATTTTTTTAGTACATTTTTAAATTTATTTAAAATTGCAGTATAATTTTAATGCTTAAAAAATTTTTGTTTTTTCAACACATTTTATTTGTTCAGAACAAATTTCTCGAAATATGTATAAGGAAGGTTGTTAAAAAAAATTTTCTTTTTAAATTAAAAATTGATGTATGCATATTTCAGATGCTTGAAAATTCACCACATACAATTTTTAAATGTAAAATAAAATGATTCTAATTTTACAAAAAGAAAAATATAACTTTTTATTTATTTATTTTGCTGATTTGACTAATCAATATATATATATAAAAAAAAAGGGGGGGGGGGAAATGATGATAATGACAAAACGGTATTTCCTTATGATTAATAAAATTCTTTCTATAGGTTATGTGAATTACCACTTGAGCTCTGGTTTAGGCTTTTTCCAAATTTTCAATTTTGCCTTAAAGAAACAAATTCTCCATGATGTTTAATGGAAAAGTTGTGCATAGAAGAGAAAGTTTAAATATTATTCTTAAAGCTTAAAAAGTATTTAAAAAAAACAGAATATGTTTTAATTAGCTTAAATGCTTACTGCAACTGAAATGTACTTTTTTACTATTAAAAGTATGTTTTAATAATCTTTTTTTTTTTCTTTCATTCATTTTAGTCAAATCAAAGAGTAACTTCGCAGATGAAACAAATTCCATTTTATGGGAAAGGAAAGTAAGTTAAATTATATTCATAAATATTTATTTCTCATTTTTAAATTATATATTAATACTTATATATTTTTATTTCATTTACTAGGCATATATCAGAGAATTGGTGGAAAGCTTTTGGTATGTCTGTTTTTTTTTTTTTTTTCTATCTGCTTTTATGGCGTAAAGTTTTATCCATTTTTTGTGTACATTGTGTAGAGTCTGAAACAAAAAAATGTTTCACGAATATCACTTTACTGAGGATATTTTACAGCAAAAGCATATTTATAACTACTATTGATATATAATTTATATTTTGAATATAAATTTATTATATAATTTTTTCTATGATTTTTTAGCTTACATAATATTTGAATATCAATTTAGATAAATTGATATTCTAATATTATGTAAGCTAAGAAAAATGTTATATGTGCTTTACTTTATTATATAATTCATAAGTTGTTTAATCTAGTTCCCCCTTTTTTTTTCTTTTTTTTTTTCGTACAAATGAGAAATGTTTTGAACAAATCACCTCTTTTTGTCGAACTTGCTGCAATAAATTATTTGGTTTAGTAAAAGGAATATTAAGCAGAATGAGTTCAGTAAAAAAAAAAACTTTTCTTTTTGTTGTCATTAATTCCCCTTTTTTATTAATAGTCATTTTGTTTGTTGAATGATTTTATTAATTAGGAATACGTAATTTTAAAAAAAATTATTTTATTAATGAGTTGTAAATAAGTGAATTTCAGATAATTTCCTCAAAAATGGCGCTATTATTCTTGTTAGTGGCTTTAAAATCTACTTTTGTAACAAAATGAGATGCAATGAATTACTTTTTAATTCATCAACATCAATTTTTCAATAAACAAATTAATTTTAATCAACATTACACAGTGTAAGTTGTAATGAATTTTATAGTAAAAGAATATTTGTGTATATTTATTTTATAAAAATGATAATTTAAAACTTTTAGTTTAGGAAAATGTAATCACTAATAGAATTTCAAATGAGCTATAAAGCCTTTTGTAGCATTAAAATTAATAATTAATTCTTCAAAGACTTGTAGTTCAAAACAATTGAATTTTTAGTTATTATTTTCAATTATTATTTTTAGTTATTATTTTAAAATTATTTTAGTTATTAGTTTTTCATTAAAATAAAATCCATCAATAATCTTATTAAAAAAAAACACTGTTTTTTAAATTTTTCAATAGGGAAAATATTTTTAGTCAAAACAACATTTTATTTTGTGAAAATAATGCAAAATAAGTTATTGAAAGGTGGTAGTAAAAAATGTATTGGAATTCAAGAAAATGCAATGATTGAGATTTAAATAGTTCAGTGTGTCAAAAACTTTTCCAAAATAAGATATTCCAAACTTCTATTTCAGCTGATTTTGCAAGGTTTGTCATCTAATTTTATTTCAGGGAAACAATGGAAAAAATTTATTAACACTTTCAGTCTGCAAAATAAACCTTATTTTTTCTTTAGTGAAAAAATTTGCATTTTGCCAACTATGCTAGATAAATTTTCATGAATATTTATGTTGAATTCCTTAACAAAGTCTAATTTTAAAAAAAAAAAGAAGAAGAAAGGACATAATGTGTAGCAATCTTATTAGTCAAAAACACTCATAAAAAAATACACATTTTTGTAAAGTTTTTAGAATTCTAAGTAAGAAATTCATTGTTTAAAGCAGTAACAAAGAAAATTAATAAATATTTTAAAAAAAAAGGAATTAAAAAAAAAATTTTTTTTGAAAAAAAGGGAGGCCTCTGTACATCTTCCAATAATAGCATATATAGTTTCAAAAAATCATAATTCTTATTCTAGTTTTTGCCAAACTAAATTATGAGGGGCAAGAACGGTAAAAAAAACTCCTTAATAAAACTCAACAAAAAATGTCTTAATGATCAATGACAATTTCGTATCAGAGTAATCCTCAAACATTTCTTATAAAAACATGAAAAAATTCATTTTATTCCAACTATTAGTTTTTGTGTTTTAAAAGGGAGAATTTCGTGTGACAAAAATTTTTTATACTGTGTTGGCAGCGATATTTTTTTAATTTATTTTTTTTTTCTTTTATTTATTTATCTATTTATTTTTTTTAATGTAAAGAGATATTTTAGCATGACTGTCGAAATGTTTTGATCCTAACATTAGAAAAATGTTAGAAACTTCTTCTATTCTTTTATTTAGTCATTTATTATAGATTTTATTATTATTATTTCAGGTCGTTTATTAGTATGTGAGAAATATTTGCAAGAAGTGCAGATAAAATCGAAAGGAAAAACGAATATGTTTGGAGGATGCACAGTTAACATCACTTCAAAAGCGAAAATGTGGTTGGAGAAAGCCAAATATTCTCCAGGAAATGAATCCCTTATTTTGGAAATGAATGCAGAACTGATGAATCTGGCTGAGGCAAAGGCAGTTACTACAAAGAAAATCATTGCTCCTCCTGCTCCTGTCAAAAAGTATACATATTTTCTAGCTCTTAAATATAGTAGTACGCAAAAAATAATTTCAACCAATGCACTGCAAAGCTTTTGCATTGATGTGATGCAGGATAAATCATGCTTGTCTTTATTTAATAATATTTATAAATATTATTAAATAATATTTTTAATAATATTAATAATATTTTTCTTATATATATATAATAATATATAATTAATATTTGATCCAAGGTAATTTGACTGAAACATAGCTTTTCACTTAAAGTAAATATAATGTTTTCATTATTACAGAATATTATGTAAATTGCTACCAAGTTATTCTTCACAAATATTCTGGATTTATTATGGATCCTTTCTCAATTCCCTATTCATATGTTCTCCTTTTTTTTCTTCAAATTATAACTTTCTAATATGTGTTTGTAACAGCATTTTTTAATAATTATGAAAAACATCACCTGTAGCATTGAAATGAAAGTAATAAAGACTTTTTTAACGCAAATTGCAAAAAAGGGTCATTATAGTCCCTCCAAAAATGCAAAGATGGAAATATTTTTATTTGTATTAATATTTCTCAGGGTAATAAAGATATTTTACTATTAACATCTATTACTGAGGTCAAATAACTGAAAACAGTTGTTTTATAGAAATATAATTAGAAAATTGAAGTAGGGTCCATAACAAGCTTCACTCCGCAATGCGCAGGTTAATATTCAATTTTTATGTCATTAAAAAAAGTCAAATTATATGCAAATTTAGCATTTTACTCATGACATAGATTTTTTACCTTAAAACATCCTTACTTACACTGATTAGGAAGGTCAATAAATAGTCAATAAGAATTTTTTAACAATGCTTAGATTAATTATCAATTTTTTTGTAATTGAAAAAATCAAATTTTATCAACATTTAACATTTTATACATTACATGATTTTTTTTTAATAATTTCATTATTATTTATTTTCACTCCTTAGGATATTAGCTTTAGCTGGATTGAATACAATGGAAGATAACATCAATGCTGATGACCTGTTCAAAGATGATGTCCCTCCATCTGAACCAGTGGATGAGCGAGAAGAACAACTACAGGTTTATTTTCCTTTCGTCACCTTATTAACATCTTTTCTTTTCATATCATTATTAACTTTTCGATGTACTCTTAAAATGTATAAATACTAAAGCTTTCAATTTTTCAGGTTGACCTCTATAAGCAGTTAATGGCTCTAAGAAATAAGATTGCCGAAGAGGAAGGTATTGCACCCTACATGGTCTTAAGCAACAAAAATCTTGTGGATATAGCTGTCCATCGACCTGTTTCTGTTCAATCTTTATGTCAAATTGAAGGTATACCCTCTGCTCGTGCTTCTAAGTTTGGAAATGCCATGACTGAACTAGTAAAGCGTTTTTGTGAAGAGAATGGCTTAGAAACAGATGTTTTACCCACTTCTAACACATCTAATGAGGTATAAAAAATTATTTTTGCTTGTTCATCATATATTATCATGAAAATAAGTATTTTGTTAGTTTTTCTTTTTATGTTTAAAAAATGTGATGTTCAATTATCAGAGTGTTTGCATAATTCAACCTTGTCATCCAGCCTAGTCCTCTATGTACAGCCCAGCCCAGAAGACAGGGTAACTTTCGGATAAAGTATAACGTAAACTTACCTTCATGGAGTCTTTTTGATAGAATTAGCCCACATTTAATAGGAATATCTCCCATAGTTAACCTGATGTCAAAGGGATACTGTATCTGGATTGCTGGAAGCAGTAAGGAAAATTAAATCATTGGGAAGGAGAGAAAAAAAAATTATTTTTTAATTTCAATGTACTAATTCAGTATACATTGTGATTCCTGTTTAAATCAAAATAATGAAGCAGTGAAACAAAAAATGCAGCTGTACAAGACCAATAGTTTTTTGTGGGTGTGATTGTTGAACCTTAAATAAATCAGATGAGGATAACTGGATGATCTTAAAAGAAAAAAAAATCTTAAGAAGTTTTAAAAGAGTAAAAGAATAAGATATAATGCTTTTTGCTAACCATAATAATGTTTTGTAGACCATAATGAAGTAAAAGTAAATTAAATTAAAGGTATGAGGACGAAAACCCAATGAAGAATATTACATGCAAGGATGAGGTAAGGCCACATATGCGATGATTGGATAATAGGGTAAAGTGTTTAAGAATCAATCGCCCTAAAGGGGGCAATGTGGCTCCTCAGCAAGGCGAGAATCTTCAGGTGGTGGCGATGAGTATTCAAAATAAAAAATTTATATATCCATTTTTAAACTTCCCTCGAATTTTTTTTTAGTTAAATAGAGCTTTCCATTTTTGTATTAACATTTTACTGCATTGCAATTTATTCACAAAATTGCTTATTAATGTTTTTGAAAATATAAATATGTTTATAACATAAATAACATTAATTATTTTTTGGAGACGTAAAACTTAATCATAAAATCTGGCCAGTACCGCTGTTTTTTTTTATATCATTAAGGTGTAAGTAAATAAATTAATTATAATCAACTCAATAATCTTCGATCTGTTTTAATCTTCATTAAACATTTGCTCAGATTGGTGTTTTTATCTGCATAAATAGTGCTTCTTTCTGCAAAATTTGTAGGTACGAAACACTCGCACTGCTTTTTCATATTTTATTTTAGAAATTTTATAATCATTAATTTATTTACAGCTTTCAAGTAACTTTATCAAATTTTATTTTTCTTGCAAAATTAAATGTGCAAATATCCATATTTATGAAAGTAAGAAAATAATTGCACAATATCTTTAAAAATATAATTATACCAATCAATTGTGTTTGTTGTTTTGGCAAAAAAGTTGAGCACCACTTTTAAATTAAATATGTTTCACTTTAGATACATTAATACATCTTTATATATCTTATTTATTTATAACTCATGCAGCTGTAAAAGTTTTCTTAAGTAGTAATGTTCTATATAAACTATGTATTATACTTAAAACGCATATAATTTCATCAAGTTATTCTGTATGTTTTGTAGCCAAAAAAAGATCTTGATCCCCTTATGAAACAGTTGAGTAGCACAGCTGAGGAGACGTATAGGATTTATGGAGGTGATGGGAAGGATATCAATGAAGTAGCTAAAAGAAGAGGTTTATCACCCAATACTGTTGTTAACCACCTCATTGAAGCCATCAAAGTTGGCTTGCCAGTCACTCTAAAAGATATGGGAATCACAAAAGAAATATTTGAGATTGTTTCAAAAGTCATTCGATCACCACCCATCAATTCTGGTATGTTCATTTTAAACCTCTCCAATCAGCCTCAGTTTTGTTTTAAAGCTAAAATGCTAAGTGTCCTGGATGATTTTATTTACTAGAACCTAATAAATAATTGTCATTATCTAGATAAAGTTGTTGATATATTGAATTTATTGCTATTTTAAATAATCTGCATTTGCTATGTGTGGTTGTCATGCATAAAGTTGCAAAATGCTGTTTCCTATCATGTTTTTTTTTCTTTCTAATTAACACTAATTTAGGCAATTCATCCATCTTAATACCTTCACTTTTGTTACTTATCTTATTCAATATTGTCAATCTGATTTTAATTCAATTAAATCAGATTACAATCTAATTTCAATGTGTATCAAATTCAAATTAGATTATAATCAAATTTCCTTTTATTGCAAGTCTCGAAGTGTATCAATTTAGGATGGAAATAAGAAATAAAACAAAATTAATTAAAGGAGAAATGAGTAATGTATTTATTTCCTTTAATAATATGTTTGGATGTGAAACTACATTAAGTGGAAAAATTCTTTGAAGTGGAAAAAAATATTCTTTTTTTTTTTTTTTAACATATGCAAAGCAAACTTTTTTTATGATTATTTATTTGTAGAAAAAATAAAGAGTATTTTAAAAATTGAATTGCGCAGATTGTGCTATATTTTTATTTATTTATGTTTTCATTTCAGTATGAAAATTTTATTTATGTATAACAGTTCTGTAAATATTATGTTATGTATAACCGTTCTGTAAATATTTATTTGTCAGAAAATTAATTGGACATTTTAAAATGTTCATTTGTTAATTATTGCTTAGAGTCTAAGTCTGTATTGAATCAACATTAGTTTTATTTAATTGCAAAAATGTACAAAGTGTACTGAATACTTTTATTTATAATGACCCAATAAAAATAGTTGGTACCCAGTTCTGGATAACACTGTTTTTCTTTCAAGCTTCCTCAGGAATATCCTCAGTATTCATTCCCTTATTTTTACTCTTTTTTTTTATAGGAAAAGTTAATAAAAATTTCTTTAATATAAATTTTTTATCATACAGATAGTTAAAGAGATTTAAATGTTATTTTTATATCTCATTTATTTATACAAAAATGTAGCCTATCCATTTATTATTTATATTATTTTTAAATTTAAAGTAAATGGAAATTTCTTAAGAGCAGATGTTTGTCGAAACAAAACTTTTTCAAGGAATTCAATATTTTCTAGAAATATTTTTAAAATTAGATTATAAGCATAAGTAAGTTAACTTTTGCATTGCTATGTAACAAATTATATAAAAATATTGGTATTGCAAATCAAGAAAGCTAAAAAAAAAATTAAGAGTGTCGAAAATCATAATACTATAAAACATTTAAGATTTTTATACAAAGTACTAACTGTATTGAAGTTTCAAAAGGGCTTGAGCTTGTCTTGACAACAAAAACAATATCAATTCGTATATTTAGAAAAGAAATTTTTATTTATATGTTTATATATATATATATACAGTGGTGGCCAAAAGTGTGGACACTTTTTGAAAGTTTCATGTTTCTCAACTTTGAGTGCTTGTAGAATATATTAATTTTCACTTAAATACAAACGTTTACATATCAAATTGAAGGTAATTTAATGTAGAATTTAATAATAAATACAGTATTACAATATCTGTATCACAAAAAAAGTTATGCAACTATAAGTAAGATCTATCTTAGATTTGCATTTTTTTTAAAGTGATGCTTACACAATCAATACTTAGTAGGATAACCCTTATTCTTTAAGACAGCTTCACAGCGTCTTTTCATCGAGTGAACGAGTGTTTGGAGTTCATCTTTCGTAATCACATGGTGNACCACATTTTCAAATTGTTCAAGAGAGTGTGTTGGAAAAACCAGCACAATTTCCACAGTAATAAGATGTATCTATGTATTATGCTATTATATATTGCAAGTTCAGGAAACTTGTGGAAAATGCATTTGGTAAACAATACTAAAAATACAGTTAAGTGCAAAAATGTAAACTTTGGAAAAAGTGTGGCTTTATATTGCCCCAAGCTTTATTTTGCAAATGAATTATATTTTGTAACTAAAATAGTTTAAAAACAGATATTCAAAAACATATAACAAAACTAAAATAAACGTTACAAGTAATATTAAAATATTTTGCACTTAAGTTGCCAGCTTTTCAGTGACAATATATTAATAATTACCAATGAAATAAAAAATTATTTTAGGCTATTCATTTCAAACTCTTGGCTCCCTTTATTTTAAGAATTTTCAAGGAGAAACTAGCATAAAAAACAACTGATAAAGCTCTTGAATGTAAAGAGAAATTTTAGACAGGACTTATATCAAAGAATTTTTTTAAATAGTTTTAATCCATAAAGAAGTATCTTCTATGCAGTTAATTTCTATTCTAACAAATTTTGGTAGAACAACAGAATGGTAGACTTTTCAGCTATTAAAATGGCTTGAATTCCAAAAAAAATAATTTTTAATTCCAAAAAAAGTAAAGAAAAAATTTTTAGTATGTTTTTATTTTTTTGCCTTTAGAAATATCAATCATTAACTTAAATCTGAGGACATAGGAGTAGCACGAGGGGGGTTACACATTTTGCGTTGAGAAAACAGCACATTTATTTCAAGTTTCTTGAATATATGTTTAGTTATTTTTTCTATGCACATGTATATTTATAAATAAATCTCAGTATAAAACCTAAAGTAAACGAACAGTTTGGTACATGCAAATTTTAGCCAGTATATATGCCTTTCTGTGAGCATTAAGCAATTTTAAATTTTTCTATAGCAAAATTTCTTCAGCTGCATTAAATAAACTTTTATTTATTGTAAAATATTTTTTTTCTTCATAAATATCTGAAAGGATTTTTCCTTTTATTTTTATTTTTCACACAATTTTAATAAAAATTATTAGACCCGTCCAGAAACAATTGACAGAAAGTCTGCTTGAACAATGAAAATATGCTTAGTTTTCCATCATGAAAAATCGAAGGTTGGTACATAATTTAACTTAATAATGTATTTTGAATAAGCATAAATAAATCATTAAATTTGCTTAAATACATCTCTGCAGAAATGCTGTTTGACTAATGATAACAAAAATAACTGTTGGATTTAGTTTTGACAATCACAATGTCAAAGTAAACTACAGTAGTAGAAAATATTCAATTTAATATAGATGTTGTTTTCAATATAAATGAGCATATATGAGAGTATATATATATATATATATATATATATATATATATATTCTTACTCAAATTGTGTGTATTTTACCATTTATGACAGTTGTTCTTCTTTTCAGATGTAAGCAGACTTACTCCTATCAAGCAGTTGTGTCCTGAATATGTTGAATTTAATCATATTAAAATTATTATTGCTGTTCTTCAAAATAAATTTGGTGTGAATGAAATTCCTATTGAAAATGTAAACAATAATAAAGAAGTAAGTGGAGGTTTATTTGCAATTATTGTTTGTTACTAAAGTGTATAATGAGAATGTAGGGATCAGGGAGATGCAGTAATCATATCAGAATTGGCTGAAATGATCAAAAATAGATTAAAAAATGTTCAAAATCAACTAATATAATTTTTATTAATGCTGAAACGAAATGGCATGTAAGTTTTTGTGATTAAACTTTGTGCCATTATTCTGCAATTGCTCAATGTATGTCACACATAACGCATAATGCAACGATTATTCACATTCATTGATTATTAGAATAATTTTCTAGAAGCTGCATCGTATTCCAAGTTATTCTCGCCACTGCATTGTCTTACAAAGGCTTTTTTAACATTTATTAACAAATTCTTTCATTACACATTTCAAAAAAACAAGTTCAACTTTTTTTCTCTATAATCTCATAATGTAAAATATGACTGTGTATGCATTTTTTGTGAAAAGTTTGCAGGCTAAAACTCTCTGTGTTAAGTTTTATGCCTAGTCCAATTCATTTCTGTGATTTAAAAAAGAACAACTCACCTGAATGCTAAAATTTCAAAAAGTTTGTTTTAACAGTTCTTCAAGGAATTTTGAATTAAATTTTTCTTCGTGTAGAGAGCAGTCACTGATTCATGTTATGGTCTTTATAATTAAGTTCATAACCTTAATCAGCATTGATATTAACTGATTTTGTTTTCTAATAAAGCTTTTATGATACTTCTTCATACCTGCCAACTTTTAATCCTTTTGAGCATGATTTTCCCAAGTGGTAGTAAAACGGAATTCAAATTACAATTTTAGGCAGAAACATATTCTGTATTTTGAAAAAGCTCATGCGAATTACTACGAAAGCAATACATATTTATGTATATGCTTGATTTTTTTAAAAATAGTGGTGCTCAAAAAGATTATAAATTAAGCTTATAAATGAAAGGAATATATAGAAAGCGTTCATTTTACGACCACTTTAAATATAGAAATTAAACATTACGCCAAATGCGTAAAAGCCAAATGCGTAAAAGTTGGCTGGTATGCTTCTTACTAACAAATATAAAGTATACATGAAGAACTGGCACTTATTTTTTATTCATTTGTTTTACTTCCCATTTATTCTTATAATTTAGTCCTTTGGTATAATTGTACCAAATGTTTCCTTTTGCCCACAGTTTTTCTATTGTTTAGCATAAGGAGAATTGGTTTTGATGCATAGAAGCTGGCTTCATAAAACAAAGTTGGTACTAAAGGATACTTACTTTTCACAGGCAGTGACCATTAAATCAAACTTCAAACTATTCTTTTAACAGATCTAAAATTTGAAATATTCATAATCTTAAATAAAAAAATGTTTGTTGAAATATTCTTAAACCCTTATTAATGTTGTTTGTCAAGTTAGTTTCAATCCTGAAGTCTATTTTATAATAAAATGTGTGAACTTAAAAATGATTCATAGTAAAATACATTTTCTACCATATTCAAATAAATTCCATAATATTTTCTATGATACCTCTGTCAAATTAATAATTCTTAAAATTATGCGACAAGATTGTAATTATACAAGTTTTGTGAAAAGTCACAGAAATCCCAAAAATGTCAATAGAAAGAGTAATAAAATTAACTATAAATCCTTGTTTAAGTTTTTTATTTCATAAAATAACTGCAGTCGATATTCAAGCAAGTGTAGGCTGCATATAAAATTTGAAAAACAAAATTTACTTCCATATGAAACTGAACATTAATAAATTGCCTTATATCATATAGCTTAATTTCAATGGAATTTCAGCTATTAAAAAAATTCATTATCATAAAAATATTACCATTATCTTAAACAGAATATCAAACTTTTGATTACATCAAGAACTGTTGCACCTAATAATGAAAATGCTAGCCAAGTCACTAAATCTTTTCAATGTTACTCTTGATCCAAATAAAGTTATGTCTACATATCTCTATTTTATGCCAGTACTATGTTTATTGTTTAAACTTTAAACATTCTAAAAGGGTTTGGTGTTTATTACATAAGATATTCTAAAACAATCGAAATTCATCATAAGGAGCTGTTCTTACTGCCTCTGATTCTTCTATGTCCTTGCATGGAAATGCAATTTGATCAGTTGTGAGCAATTCTTCTTACATATAGTTTTTATACGTTTGCTACTGTGTGTAGGATATAGTGGGAATGACTCCTAAGATCAAATCAAAAGTTATAATAGCTGATGATGAAAACAAAAGAATATATGTATTTAATAAACAAAGATAAAATTATTCTGAGAAAATCTATTATGATCAATATCATAATATTGTTACCTAAATATTTTATCCATATATTTCAGGGCACCTGTTCTATGGTTGAGCCTTCTGCTTTGTCACCAGAAAGTACATCTAAGAAGGGCATCTGTTTCTCTGAAGATAACAACAGCTCTCCCAGTTTGCTCAAAAGAAAAGAAATTGATTACACTAAACAAACCAATTTTAAAAAGCTTAAAAGTAGCAAATTATTCAAACTGTGACATTTTTAGACCAAAATTAAAAAGAAAAACTAACATTCTTATGCATTTCCATTCCATAATATTTTATGTGGTGAAAAAATAGTTAGTACTTAATTTCCTCGACCTAAGTTTTCTTTAACATTCTAAATCTGATCAAATGCCGTATACTCTCAATATCTCAAAGTTGAAGGAAGATTAAAAGATTTTCGTGGTGGCGAGTTTTTGAGATAACAAGTTCAGAACTAAATATGTTCTAAAAACTAGAAAAATATATTCTAGAATGCTACTCTAAAAAGTAAAGTCATGAAACATAAGAATAACTACTAAATAATTTTATATGTAATGATAGTTGACCAAAAGTGTAAATACAACAATTTTAATTTTAAAAGGTAAGGACAAAAATAATTATGCATTAAATAGAAAACGGTTTACATTAAACTTATATTGTAATTTTTCCAAAAAAATTCCTTTTCTATATTGAAGAAAATTTATCATAATAAGGTTTTAGTATAAACTCTTTGGCATAGGAATTTAAATTAACATTAGGCTGATATATAATGCCAAGGGGAAAAAATAACAAGGTTTTTCGATATATTGAGAGTATACTGTATTTATTATTCTTTTTTTTTTCTGATAAATGATCGTATGAAATGGTTACCTCCGATGTGTGTGAGCTGATTTCAATTCAAATATTAATATTTATATATTGATATCAAATTATGACTTTTTGTTATTTCAGACCAGTGTTGTATTAGATGTATTTTAATACTTTCTCAGGTATGGTGATCATTTTTTTCAATGTATATAATGTATTTTTATGTAAATAATAAAAAAAACAATTTTGATATTTTTGTAATATCTGTTTTTAAATTTCTTGTTGACTGTTACATTATTTTTTGTGCACCTGATCTAGATTTTAAATCAGAAAGAAAAAAAATGAAATTTTTCTGAATTTTTAAGAATAAAGGAACTATTGCACAACGACATTTACTTCAGTTTTTTTATTGATTTTTTAAAATTTCAAAATAAATTTCTTTAGATTCTTTTTATATATTTTTTTCCAATTTTTTAAAATCGATATCTTTTCTATAAGATAATGCTTTCTAATTGGGGTTCAATTTTGTTTAATATCATTTGATTAATAACAATTACAGTAATTAAAAAGTCAATTCTTAATTATCAACGTTCATCAGTCAATTTGTTTTTAATTAATTAATTAATGAAAATTATAATTTTGAGCATTTTAAATATTTGCTTCTAATTTACAGAACATTTAAAAAAATATATCCCTAAACTTATTCTATTGGTATGTTATTTAATTTTTCTAATCCAGCATGTCATTTGAACATAGAACGCGTTCATTTTTATAAATTTATGTTCTGTGGTTTAAGGGAATATCACATTACCATGGTAGCAAAGAATAGAGCAACATTCTCATTTCAGTTCCAATTTAAGGACTAACACTAAGATAAAAACATCAAAGTTGCATTTGATAATTGTTTTAAAATGTAGTTATTAAATGATAAAGTTGATGAATTAATTCTGAGATCAGTTGACTTAATAATATATGATATCAAATTTTTAAAAAAAGATATCTGGTGGGAATAAAAATAAATATTTGATGTAAGAAATTACAGCAAGTGGTCAACTTTAACTGTGTCATAAAAGAGTATATACTGATCACACTTCTTGCTATGTCATCCACTTCTTATATTCCTTTCAAATATTTTATGTGTAAAATTATACAAGAGGATTTCAAATTTTGAGAGGTTATAAAAAGGTTAGAAGTTTTAAGTTCTTACACCATACTGTCCATATTTAACAGCAAATCGGTCAGAAGATAAACTTTTTATATATTAGTTACTTCATAATTACTATGTTTTTAATAACATGTTTTATGTCTGTGTAAGTAGAATCTTGCAATCAAAATTTCGTACACTTTAAGACTGATTAGAGTATTTTCAGTTTTAAACAATTGGAAAATATTAATTAAAAATTGGTGAATTATTGGCTAGTTCCCACGCTAGCCTACTATCAGTTGGAAGAGGCCCTGACCAACACATCCTAGAAGAGAGAATACCTTTGTCCGGATCACTTTAGTAGTAAGAAGAAGCAAACATAAACTGCACAGGGAGTGTAAATAGGTCTGCCACTCTACAGGGAATTTAAAAATCACCTAAAATAACAGGGACTTTCAGGGTTTTCTTTAGAAGCTAGGAAAATACAAGGAATTTTCGTCTTTTAAAAAATGGTAACCACTCAAAGTGCAATCTATAGTATATTTAAGGGTGATATTTCAGCTATATTAAACTAGTACATTTACTATAGCATTATTTGTTTTAAGTATGTTCAGCTGTTTCTTTTTTTTTACTTAAGTTTTTTCAGCAATTATAACTAGTACAGTTAGCCCAGGACAGCTCATGCTAGAGCACAGTGATTGTGGTTTTCCCCTTAATATCTTGTGTACCTGGAAAACACGGGGAATTTTTTTTTTGCAGATTTGAGTGGCAACCCTGGAAAAGTAAGAAAGATGTCATAATGTTCGGACTATTAAACTGCGCAGTCGGGGAAAAATAAGAGAGATGTCACAACGTTTGGACTACTAAGGATCGGATTTCTCGTTTATGGTAACCTTTTCGAAGGCCTTCTCTTTTCTACAAGGTGTGGCTCAGGGCCATTCACGTTTGTTCCTCTGGTGAAAACATGGTTGTGCCTAAAGAATTATTTGTCTGAAAGAAAGTTTTCAACCAATGTGTGTTAGAGCCGTGATGGCTCATGGGATAGCGCGTTCGTCTTCCAACGAGGTGAACCGGGGCTGGAACCCCAGCGATGGCTTGTCGATATGAATCCGCATCCGGCTTGCACCGACCACTGTGCTGGCGTAAAATATCCTCAGTAGTAGTCAAGCTAACTGTGGGGTTTTTTCCTCTCCACGAAACGCAAATGCTGGTTAGTTTCATCAAAAAAAAAAAAGACCTCCACGAAGACAAATTTCTCCCAATACTTAATCCAGGGGTTCCCTTGTCTTCCCGATTTTGTTCGAAATTCCAAAGCTACGGAGTTGGACATTAGTAGTGGTAAGCCCCAAAAAATTGGGTCGGCTGTTCAATGACGGTTATAAAATAAATGTGTGTTATCCGTACTTTGCCTTGGTCTCTTACTAAAAAGTATGGTAAGATGCGTTGTTGGTATCATTAGAAAAGTTCGACAGATATGTGTAAGACAACAAACAAAATAATTAAATGGAGTTTAGTAACCATATAGCTCAAAAAACTGACAATCGTTGCACTTACAACATCTTGGACGGGTATTCTTGTGACAACAAATGACCATGATGGAATTCGAAAAGCAACAGATCAATATTTTGGAGAAAACCTTACTTGGTGGATTCATAATAGCTGAATATGATGATGATAGTTATGTATGAAACGGAAAGACCCCTGACCTATCTACAAAATATTTATTGTTACGCTAAAGTTTATCTAATCGCTAAACTGTCTATCAAACTGTAAAAACTTAATAAACAACAGTTTACTGTTAATCAAATCTTTTGGTATGAACAAGGAAAGGTAAATTTGTTCTTCTGTCTATACAAAAGAAGCACAAATAAAATGACTCAAAAGAAAAATGATATAATAAATAAACCTTAGTGTAACAAAATGCAAATTTTTCGTCATCTGTATCTTAGCAATGATATGGATGCTTTTTTATAGTATCATGTCTCTTAATCACTTTTATTATTCTTATTATATCATTTTCTGTTGTATCAACGTCTTGGTTTTTAAGGAAAATTATAATTCGTAGCTTACAAAATTATTTCCAAATACCTTTTTGTGTTTTCTTCATTAAACTGAAGTGTACAATTTAGATAAAAGTTCAATTTAGAAATATTCCTGCTATATTTATTCGGAAAGACATCCCGAGTATTACTGCATTTTTTTTTTCCACATGAAGTCAGAGCTAAAAGAAATAGATAAATTTTTGGTACGAATGTGGCGATGAAGTAATAGAGTTCATTTCAATTGGAGATTCAAGTAAGAGTCTGATTTTGATTCCCAAAGGTACGATTACTGAAATTCTCTTGCGAATCCGAAAGAACAAAAAGAAAATACTGAAAATAGACAACGCCCAAATTATTTTTAGGTTTTTCGCGATGTCGAAAAAACTGTGTCTGATTTCTAAATTCGTTGTTTAATAAGCTGTAGTTTATTTTTAACCATCATTAGATGTTTTTAACCGCACTTCATATTTACCGAAGTACCTTCATTATTATTTTAGATGTGTACGGTACGATAAATAGAAAGAAAACAAGTAATTAATAAGCATTTTTCTTATTAATAAGCAGTTTCCTGGTGCTCCATTAGTGTTCAGTTTTATGAAAAGAGTGGCTAATTATACTATCTGGGTGTGTAGCGTTTTTAAAAAGTGTTTATTTTCGTTTTTAAAAAGTGATTTAATTTTCCCCTTTACAAAATGAGAAATTTTTTTCGTTACCACTTACCACATTGTTCTATTCAACGTTTTTTAATAATTCATTCAACTACTATCCATTTAGGCGTACCGCCGGTCCGTAGTGTAGGAAAGCGCCAATAATTTTACATGTTTGATGAAATAATTGCTCGTCTGCCTAACCTTTATTTAAATCTAAAAAATTACACTCTATAACCTTTTTAAATAATATATAATTTCGAATATTTTTTTACATAATTAAAATAAGTAATTATTAATTTAAAAAATAGTATGAGTCTCTCAATGTTGAGTATATTTAAAATTGTGGATAAATTGTTTTATGGTGGCAAATATAATCAAGAAAAGAGTTCTTTGTCAGTAAGTTATTTTATCATGATCATGAAAATTATCATGCATTTGGTTAATGTATATGTGACCGGCAAAGTATGAAATATGAGAAGTATTACATACTTTGCCTAGGCATTATATATATAAAGACGGATGCTATTTAGGCAAAGTATGAAATAAAAGTCCTGATGAGGTTATTATGTAAATGATGTGCATGTTACTGTGAATGGCCGAAATCGGTGGCTGTTGACTTTCACCGGTGAATGTTGACAGTCGCATAGTTGCTTTGATGAATGTCCGAAATATTTATTACATCCGATTTTATATGAATTTATTCGTGGATATAATTACATTTATTCGATATTTTAATACTTACTGACGATAGATTAGAAGGAACATCAGTGTTTGGAGTATCGGTCAAATATATACCGGGCAGTGACCCTTGACCTTAAAAAAAAACATCAGTGTAGGGTATATCGGGCAATGGTTTTTTAAGGTCAAGTGCCATTGCCCGGTATACCCTACACTGATGTTTTTTTAAGGTGAAGTGCCATTGCTTTGTATATATGAACTTTCAACAATAGGAAGGAAAAAAAATTCCTAATTATGATATTTTTTTAAGCTCGTAAATATTTATTTTTTTTTGAGTTCTTAAAATATGCTTATTTTTTGTTAAAAAATTTAGCAACGCACCCTGGAAATTAACTTCAATCTTTTTATGTTGAAAATACATAAGCAACACCCTTCAGTTTTGGGTGTTCAACTTAACATAACACTTTATTTTGCAGCGCAAAAACTAATATCCTCACTAGCACAAAATAAAAGAGAGCACATTACATCCAATAGAAACTTTTTTTGGGGGGGGCGTAAATTTTTTTTAATCATATTATTTCTTTTCAATACATATAACTTCAAAGTATAAAAAATAATAATAATAAAGTACATCCTAGAGCTAGAGCGGGAACGCTTTATAACCTTATTTCAAAAAATATTTTTGACTTCCTGTGGCTGGTGCTAAAATAATAACGTGAGCTATGTTAAATATATT